ACGCAGGGCCACAGCGCGCCCGGCTGGAGGGCGACCTCACACCGCCCACACGCGGAGCCACGAGCCAGACCCGCCTCACCCAGGCCCGGAGCAGGGCCTGCGGCTCTGGGCGTGGCCCCCGCGGCTCTGGGCGTGGCTCCCCCCTCCCATGGGTCTGGGCGTGGCTCCCGCGGACCTGGGGGTGGCTTCCCCCATCTGGGCGTGGTCCCTGTGGGTCTGGGCGTGGTTCTTGTGGGCCTGGGCGTGGTCCCTGTGGGTCTGGGCGTGGTCCCTGTGGGTCTGGGCGTGGCTCCCCGTCTGGGCATGGTTCTTGTGGGTCTGGGCGTGGTTCCTGTGGGTCTGGGCATGGTTCTTGTGGGCCTGGGCGTGGTCCCTGTGGGTCTGGGCATGGCTTCCCGTCTGGGCATGGTTCCTGTGGGTCTGGGCGTGGTCCCTGTGGGTCTAGGCGTGGTTCCTGTGGGTCTGGGCATGGTTCTTGTGGGCCTGGGCGTGGTTCCTGTGGGTCTGGGCATGGCTCCCCGTCTGGGCATGGTTCCTGTGGGTCTGGGCGTGGTCCCTGTGGGTCTGGGCGTGGTTCCTGTGGGTCTGGGAGTGGTTCCCATGGATCTGGGTTGTGGCTCCACCCCCCCCCCCCCCCGTGGGTCTGGGCATGGCTTCCCCCGTCTGGGCGTGGTTCTCGTGGGTCTGGGCGTGGCCCCAGTGGGTCTGGGCGTGGCCCCACCCCGTGGGTCTGGGAGTGGCTCCCCGTCTGGGCGTGCCCCCCCTCCCCGTGGGTCTTGGCGTGGCTTCCCCCCGTCTGGGCGTGGTTCCCGTGGGTCTGGGCGTGGCTCCCCGTCTGGGCGTGGCCCCCGCCCTTCGGGTCTGGGGCTGGAGTGGGTGCCACAGCTCCCTACTCCAGAGGGACAAGGACAGCGCCTTGGCGCCGGTCCTGCCACCCATGGGGGCAGGGCTGTGTAGAGAAGGGTCGGGAGAGGGCGCCCCCAGGTCCCCCTGCGGATGCCGCCCCTGCGAGCTGTTGAAACAGGAACGGAGGCAGTGGAAGGGGGCTGGGCAGCGGTCTGAGCGGCGGGGCGGGCCCGCGGGTGGCAGATGACACCCTGGGACCAGTCATCTGGAGGGAATTCAAACGAGATGGTGAAGGCAAGGGAGGGTCTCGGAGTCTCCGCACAGCGGGGCACAGGCAACCGTGGGCCGTGGTGGCTGCCCCGACTGGGACCCAGCTTCTGCGGACCGTGGAGGAACTGGGCTGTCCCCACGCGTGGCCGGAGCCTTCTGGAAGTGGGGGCCACCTGCTGGGCCTGGCGCCAGCTCAGGAAGCTGAGGGGCTGTCGTGGAGAGAGGGCGAGCTCCCTGTCTGTCCACCACCCGGGGAGACAGTGCTCCGCCAGAGCGAGGGGCTCCCAGCAAGCCCGAGAGCCAAGGCCCCTGAAAGCAGAGGTGAAGCTGAGTCCAGCTGCCGCTGCAGCCCACGGCAGGAAGAGACGGAGAATTCCCACGGAGAACTGGCATCCACAGAAAATTACCAAATGGGATGCCAGAACTGAAAGATACCTGAAATTAAACATTCACTGAAAATGATTATTTTTAAAAATCATTATGATTAATACGTAGAAGAATCTCGTGGAAATGGCGGAGGGTGGCGTGGACAGACGTGGAACTTCAGCAGACACGGGAGCTATGAAAGAGTTAAAGGGAAGCGCCAGAAATGAAAGTCCTGCGTCAGAGGAGACGAAAGTCCTGCGTCAGAGGACATGAAAGTCCTGCGTCAGAGGAGATGAAAGTCCTGCGTCAGAGGAGATGAAAGTCCTGCGTCAGAGGAGACGAAAAGTCCTGCGCCAGAGGAGACGAAAGTCCTGCGTCAGAGGAGATGAAAGTCCTGCGTCAGAGGAGATGAAAGTCCTGCGCCAGAGGAGATGAAAGTCCTGCGTCAGAGGAGATGAAAGTCCTGCGTCAGAGGAGACGAAAGTCCTGCGTCAGAGGACATGAAAGAGGACATGAAAGTCCTGCGTCAGAGGACATGAAAGTCCTGCGTCAGAGGACATGAAAGTCCTGCGTCAGAGGACATGAAAGTCCTGCGTCAGAGGTGAGGAACCCGATGGCTCGGCAGTGAGGTGGAGCGTCTCAGCGCCAGCCAGCTGCTTGGGGGCTGTGCAGCACCTCCGTCCGCCAGTCCCACACCTGAGTCATGTTTTTCCCTATAACAAATCCTGACATTGTTGATGTTAGAAACCTCACTGTCTTTTTGTGAGACAAGCAGAAGACTGGTAAGTCCAAAGCCACAATCTTAGGAAACGTCCGACAGACAGACAGAGAAAGGATAAGACACGGATAAGAGACACGGAGGGCACAGACAAGCGGTGCCTTTGCATGTGCGTGCATGTGTGCGTGCGTGCATGCAACTGGAGTCCCAGAGAGGGAGAAGAGAGAAAATGGGGGAAACATGATATTCAAAACATAATGGATAAGAATTGTCCAAAACTGATGAAAGATATTAACTCCCAGACCTGAGAAGTTTTGTATATTCCAAGACAAAATAAATAAAATCACATCTAGGTATAATGCAGACTGATGAAAACCAAAAATAAATAAAAAGTATTTAAGAAAACCAGAGGAAAAAAGACATGTTTCCTTCAAAGAAGCAACAGTAATGACAAAAGTTGAAATTTTGTTTTGTTTTGTTTTTTTTGAGTCAGAGTCTCACTCTGTTCCCCGGGCTAGAGTGCCCTGGCCTCAGCCTAGCTCACAGCAACCTCAAACTCCTGGGCTCAATCGATCCTCCTGCCTCAGCCTCCTGAGTAGCTGGGACTACAGGCGTGTGCCACCATGCCTGGCTAATTTTTTCTATATATTTTTAGTTGACCAATTAATTCCTATTTTTAGTAGAGATGGGGTCTCGCTCTTGCTCAGGCTGGTTTCGAACTCCTGACCTTGAGCAATCCTCACGCCTCGGCCTCCCAGAGTGCTAGGATTACAGGCGTGAGCCACTGTCCCTGCCGAAAGTTGAATTTCTATCAAAACCCTCTGGCCAGGAGACAGCGGCGTGACCTGGTGGAGCTCTGTCTTCAGCAGAACTAGGAGAACTGGGTTTATTTCCAGACACACAGAAGCTACGTGAGCTCACTGCCCGCCACACGACAGGCGCAGGACGGCAAAACACCAAGAACGAGCTCTTCAGGGAAAGGGGGGTCATTCCCGATGGGAGCAGGGACTCCGAGAGAACAGCACTGACGCACAACTGTCCCACGCCACGTGATGCAGCACATACGGTGCCCGCAGCTCACGAACATGTGTGTGGAAGGAAACGTGTGACAGCAGCCGCAGAAAGGGCGGCGGGCAGGGTCGTGTTTGCGGTCTCTTCATCGTGGGACGGAGAACGCACTGTCTTCAGTCAAGGGCGCACACTGTAACCTCTTAGGTGACACCCAAAAGAACAATACAGAAAGATATTCCTAAAACTCTAATAGGAGAGATAAAACAGAATTAAAAATTTTTGATTCTCCAGAAGCAGGGAAAGAAGAATGAAGGAATAAAAATCAGATACACAAAACAGATGGCAAGATGGTAGAATCAACCATGTGCACGATTACTTTAAATGTAAGTGCACTAAACATTCTAACTAAAAGACAAAGATCGACAGGATAAAGGCCCAACTGTACGATGTTTACATACGGTGTTTAAATACAGTATAACAACCCAGAAAGGCTGAAAGAGGATAGAAGACACACCAATATCATGTAAACACTAACCCAGTTGGCAGTGGTATGCCTATGTTAACATCAGACAAAACAGAGTTTCGGAAGTAAAAATGAGAGGTAAAGAAAAACATTTCATAGCGATGAAAGGGTCAGTTCAACAGGAAGATAAGACAACCCTAAATCTGTAGGCATCTGTGAGGGATGGAAAATTACCTGTGGGGTGTCAGGTACACTGCTCGGGTGATGGGCATATTAAAAGCCCAGACTTGGCCACTATACAATATATATGTGTAATGGAATTCAATTTGTTCTCCCTAAATCTATTAAAATTAAAAAAAGAAACTAAAACAAACAAACAAAAAAAGCAAATTTGTAGGCATCTAATAAAATAGCTCCAAAGTATATACAGCAAAATCTGACATAACTAGAAGGAAAAATATACAAGTTCACAATCACAGCTGGGAATGTTAACATGCCTTTCCCAATAACCGACAGACTAAGCTTAAACAAGTTAGTAAGGATGCAAGAGACCTGAGCAATGTGATCAATCAGCATGACCTCCATACATAAAATGCTATATCCAACAACTACAAAATACGCTCTTCCTAAGTGCACATCGCATTTTTACCAAAATACGTTGCGTGGCATAGCCATAGAGCGGAACTTCACAAACTTCCAAGTGCTGGAATCGGAGACGTTCCCTGATCTACAAGCGGACGGCAATGTGGAATCAGGTGCCAGCCCCAGCTGGGCCTCCCGTGGGTGCAGCTCCGGCCAACAGCTGATTCCTGCCTCACGAGATGCCACAAAAGCCAAAACTGGTTTTTTTGGAAAGATGAATAAAACTGATGAATCCCTAGCAAGACTGATAAAGAACCCAAAGCAGGCCGGGCGCTGCAGCTCGTGCCTATAATCCTAGTGCTCTGGGAGGCCAAGGTGGAGGATCGCTCAAGGTCAGGAGTTTGAGACCCCATCTCTACTAAAAACAGAAAGAAATTAATTGGCCAACTAAAAATATATAGAAAAAATTAGCCGAGTATGGTGGCGCATGCCTGTAGTCCCAGCTACTCGGGAGGCTGAGGCAGGAGGATCACTTGAGCCCAGGAGTCTGAGGTTGCTGTGAGCTGGGCTGACGCCACGGCACTGTAGCCCAGGAAACAGAGTGAGACTCTGTCTTAAAAAAAAAAAGGACACAAAGCACATATATCTAGAATAAAAAAGGAGATATTATTATAATATTAGAGACAACGAAAAAATAAGAGAACATTATGAATAACTCAAAGCTAATACATTTGACAACTTGCATGAGATGGAAAAATTCATTCACTGAAAAACATATTTACCAAATTGACATAAAAAGAAAGTCTGAACGGTCTCACATCTGTTAAACAAACAAAATCAAACATGTCTGCAAGACTGCTGAGCGCAGGAACCCCTGAACAGCCCAGGCCGAGGTAGCGTCCGAGACGGCCTTTCCTACAGCGAGAAGGCCGGCCGCAGTTTCCACGCAGGGCTGGATCCCGTGGTCCTGCGTGCAGGCTGCATGGTCGGCAGCCAGGCGGGGTGGAGGCTGTGGGACAGCATGGTGCCGGGCGGGAACAGGCTGGCCACACACCCGGCCCACACGGCTCTGCCCACACGGCTCTGCCCACACGGCTCTGCCCACACGGCTCTGCCCGGCCCAAGGTGGCCTTGCGGCTGGCGGGCAGCATAGAGCTGCGCTGACACACGTGAGCGAAGCTGCCACTGCACGTGTAGCCGCACGCCGGGGCGGGGAGAAGGGGGCAGACGCTGGCGTCTAGACACTGGTGGACAGATCTGTGAGCCGCCAGGCACCAAAACGAGGTGGCTTGTTTACAGTATCCTCTTTTAATGTGGCTTAAAACCGTCTACGGCCTCAGAAAAAGAACACAGATTTGTTAAAAAACAAAAACCAAACAGGCTGTGAAATAAACTGTAAGGACCACACTGAACTCTAACACGCCCGCCGCCCGGAGATGATGCCACGGCGGGCGGTGTGTCCTGTCTGAAGACGACGCCATCCGTGCGGTCACTGTCTGTCACTGGCATTGACACACATCTTCCGACTCTTAGTATTTCATGTTAGAAAACATGTTCTGAGGCTGAGACGCTCGCGGGTGCGAGGACAGGTCTCCGGAGAGAGCTGCCAGCCGGGGCTCCCTGCGCAAGCTCCAGCTCAGTTTCAGGTTCGCGACCTCGTCCTGCAGCTTCTTGGCCTTTTGGGAACAGAAGAGGGTTAAAGGTTAGAAAGGCTGGCGGGACTTCAGATGTCACCGTCCTTCTGGTCCAGACAGATGGCAGAGCCGGCTGCCTGTCCCTGAGGCCCCTCTGCATGGGGACACCAGCCCCTCAGTCGAGAGGACACCAGCCCCGCCCTGGCGTCCCCAATAGGCCCCACCACTCGTCCCGAGCACACAGCTCGGGATCGTCCTGCCGACAAAGTGCCTGTTAGCAAAGGTCACCCGAGACGCACAGAGCCACCGCCACCGCCCTGGCCCGGGAAACGGAGGAGCTGAGCCTGGAGCCCCCGCACAATCGCTCCCATCCCAGGTCCCCAGCCCATCCGGGGAAGGCAGAGGAGCCGAGCCTGGAGCCCGCGCACACTCAGTCCCATCCCGGGTCCCCAGCCAGTCTGGGGAAGGCGGAGGAGCCGAGCCTGGAGCCCGCGCACACTCTGTCCCATCCCAGGTCCCCAGCCCATCCGGGGAAGGCGGAGGAGCCCAGCCTGGAGCCCGCGCACACTCAGTCCCATCCCGGGTCCCCAGCCCATCCGGGGAAGGCGGAGGAGCCCAGCCTGGAGCCCGCGCACACTCAGTCCCATCCCGGGTCCCCAGCCCATCTGGGGAAGGCGGAGGAGCCCAGCCTGGAGCCCGCGCACACTCAGTCCCATCCCGGGTCCCCAGCCCGTCTGGGGAAGGCGGAGGAGCCAAGGGGAGGCACCAGCACTCAGGGCCAGGACGCCGGCAGAGAGACCCACTGCCCCCGCCCCAGTGGGCACCTGCCTGTGCCCCGACCTCCCGCCCCAGGGAGGGGCCCCGGTCCAGCCGTTCCCCCCCTCCCCGCCCAGGTGCGCTGCTGCAGGCGAGGGTCAAGGTGGGTCAAGGTGCCACTCAGGGCTCCGTCACCATGAGGGAAACACCAGCTCTGCTGATCCCGTGTGCACTGGTTGTTGCATTTTGCTTCCTGTGGAAATCCGTGTTCTCTGTGGGATTAGTGACTGCCTCCTTTTACAATTTTGCTTTGTTTTCTGCGTGCCTGTCACCAAGTCCTCTCAGGCAGGTGACACTCGCTGACTTCCTCCCCTCCTGGTCCCGCCTCCCGGGAGACCCTGGGGGCCTGTCCCAAGCAGACAGCCCAGGGCTCCATCTGGGGCACTCGCCTTCAGGTCGGCCCCCCGCCCAGGTGGGAAGAATCCTGCAGTAGCTTCCAGAGAAAGCCACGGGGAAGTCGCAGTTCTGAGTCCTTTCCAGTCTGAGGCGGCTTTACGGGCCCCGTCCTTGTGATCTGGGCGCAGAAGCCCGGCACGCTGCAGGAGGCGTTGCGGCCACCACGACCCCCCAGGCCCTTGCCGGCTCCCAGCCCGTGGGGGCCGCTAGTCCTCGGCCCGGATGCCCTGTTAGATGTCAAACCCCCGGATCCGTCCTCTAGCTCATCCTTGTATCTCGTCTCCTCTCTTTTCCTGTCCCTGCTTTTCTTTTCGTTTTACTTCCTGGGGGATTTATTCATCTATTGATTTTTAAATTTTAATACATTTCTGCCATATTTCTAACATGCATCCAAGAGCTCTCGCTGCCCGAGTGTTCACTTTTTGTCACAACTTAGAGCAGTGCTGGCCTCACGGGTGTTAGGAAGCGTCCCCTCTGCTTCTGTCTTCTGGAAGAGACTGCAGATAACCGCACACTTTCCTCCTCAAACGTTTGCTGGAATTCACCAGCTAACCCGCCTGGGCCTGGTGCTTTCTGTCTGGGAAGGCTATTGATTACTGATTCAACTGAACACATATAGGCACATTTAGAGTGTCTATTTCTTCTCTAAGTTTTAGCAGATGGTGTCTCTCAAGGAATTTGTCTACTTCATCAACGTCATCCAATCTGTGGGCCCAGAGTTGAGCTTAACACCAAACAGACTTTTGCAACCATAATCTGAAACAACAGGCTGAGACACAGATGTCTTGAAGCCCCCAAAGGCAGGGTTTTGGGTGTCCCAGGATAAGTCCATACTCATAAACACCAGATTTATAAAGAATAAAAGCTTACTCAGAGGCAGATAAAAATTCTCTTGGCCAGGGAGAAAGAGTCTGAGAAGAGGGGTCAGATCCAGACTGGGTGGGGGTGGCGTCCCCCCATCTCTGCCTGGGCTCTGGGGGAGGCAGATGGCAGAGAGGGGGCCTGCGGACGGGCGGTGGGGACAGGAAAGCGGGCACTGCCTCCTCCCCGGTGACGGTGCTGCTTGCTCTGGGGGCGGCCCGGACACAGCCAGCGCCAGCCCGACCCAGGGGCAGGGGCGGACGGCTGCTGTGTCAGGGCAGGGCACGCTGACCTGGAGCGCCCGGAGCCGGCGGCGTGGGCGGCCCGGAGAACAGGCCACGCTCTCCCGGCTGTGAGAAGGGAGGGGACACAGGCATCCACAGGGAGGGCAACTGCGTCCTCACACCAGCTGGACGGCAGGCCACGCGTGGCTCAGGGCAGGAAGGGGGCTTCCCTCGCCACTGCGCTGCTCTCGTAAGCCAGAACATTCCGGGCACACAGCAAGTGCTCGTCAGTAGCTGCTGAGTGCACGAACGCCATGAGCAGCTGGGTGAGAAGACAGTTAAAATTCATAACATCTAGCAGAGATTCCTGTGAGCAGTCCTGTTCGGGAGGCTCCTGGGCTGGGGCGTCTGGGCCCTGCACACACCAGCCTCCCTGGGGCAGATGCCGGGGGCCTCAGCCGCGGTCCAGGCGGCTGCAGGCAAGCCCCGCTCCCTGAGCGTCCCGGCGGCCTGGCTCCACTGGACACAAAGTCTCAAGCAAGGACCGAAGGCGCGCGGAGGGGGCGGGCTCCAGGCCAGGCTGCTGCCGGCAGAGGCCTCGGGCAGCAAGGCGGGGTGCGGCAGGGGCGGGGCACGTTGCAGGCTCGCTCTCACCGCTGAGACGGCTTCCTGCCATCTGACCAACCGCAGTTCTGGGGACATCCCCCGCACCAAACACACGCCCACGACTTTAGAGAACCCGCACTCTCAAAAGGCACGGCAACTTCCATTTTTAATAAAAGAAATTTTTAAGCAGAGCAAAAAAAATACTTACAATCTCCAAATCCTGGGCAGCCTTCCTCATTTCCTCCCGCGGGTCCACCCCCGGCCACCTTTTCCTTTGCTCGTGCACCCGGTGCACGTGCTGTCTTATCTTCTCTTCCAAGTCCCCCGCCCCGAGAGCACTGAGAAAGAAAAGGGCCAGAGGGACGGGTTCGACAGGGAGTCTGGTCCTGGGAGCTCCCACTCTCACCCAAGAGAAGGAATTCTCCTTTTGCCCCAGACCCAGTCTCGGTCCTGAGGCTCCCACGTGGCTATGCCATGGTTACCTGGGACCCCCGAGACACCCATCCTCCGCAGACACTAACTCCCGGGGCCTGGGCTGCCTTCTGAACACGGGGCTGGGGGCTCCACTGCCGGCCGTGGCCTCAGCGCACAGCAGGCCTGGGTGCAGGCCGGGGGCACGGCTCGGAAAGCAGGAAGGGCCCGGCAGGTGGTACTGGGGCCTTGGGGCCTCCCCGCATGTCCCTGGGCCACCCCCAGGTTTCCAGCACACCCAGGAGGGGCGTGGGAGGTGCCCGGGGGAGGAAGGCATGCGCAGCCAAGGCCCAGTCTGGGGCTGGTCTTTCTAGTCTGTACAGAAGCCCCAGAGGAGCTTGGCACTCACACCCAGGGAGCAGGCACTGAATCAGCTACCAAAGTTATAAACACAGGAAACCAAAGAAATGCTTGCCGATGAGGAGAAAAGGGTTAACTGTCCAGGACCCCAGAGCAGCTGCTGCTCCCCTCACAGCCACACCCCACTCCTCTCGATGCCCCCCCATGGACCTGGCTTCCGTCCTTGTGTCCCCACCACTGCTCTCTGTGCCAGGCACCACGGAACGTGCCCTGCTCCGAAGACTTGTGCCTGTTGGTCCCCTCGGCCTGCTTGCACTGCCTGCCCCACTCCCGTCCCGAGGGCGCGGCTCTGGGTCCTGCCCTCCCTGCACCTGGCAGTCCCAGGCCGGCACCAGGCCTCCCAAGCACCCCTCCCCGCTCTCCCATTCTCCAGGCCCCAGCACGGCCCAGACGATCCCACATCGGCCAGCCGTCCGCCCCCACCCGGCCAGAGACTCAGAGCACAAGGCTCCTCGCCACGCAGCTCCCCAGTGCTGCCTGTCTCACGCACCCACGGCCACCCCTCTGGCTGGGCCTCCGCCTGTCAGCACCCCAGCTGGGGAGGGCCCGCACGTGGCCCCAAGGATCAGCTCTAAGAAAGCCGGGGCTGGAAGGAGTGAGGTTAGAACTCAGGGCAGGAGAAGGCCTGGGGAGGCAGGGCGGGGTGGGCCTCAGTCGCCCGCTGCAGGGGCCCTGGTGCTGTGTCCGGGGCCTGCAGGACCTGATGGCTGACTGAGGAGCTCCCGGAGGGCAGGGGCCGCGTCTTTCGGGCTCCCCCCGTCCCTGTAGCCCACAAGCCTGACGTCGCAGGAGTGCTTCAGGGACAAGCACGTGCCGCAGGGGGGGCGGGGGAGGACGGCGCCCGGGAAGGATGGAGCCACCGTCAGTTACCAACCTCATTTCTTTACTTGCTTGTGATACTTTCTCTTTGCTCTGTTTCATCTTCCCGAGTGCAGTCACTGGTATGTTCCCGTCATCTGTCAGATCTGTGGCGAAGGGAATCTGTGACGCCGCCTAGGAAAATGCAAGATATTTTCAGGAATCCCAGAAAATACTGTTTTGTTTTGTTTTTTTTTCCTTTGGAGACAGAGTCTCACTTTGTTGCCCAGGCTAGAGTGAGTGCCGTGGCGTCAGCCTAGCTCACAGCAACCTCACACTCCTGGGCTCGAGCAATCCTCCTGCCTCAGCCTCCTGAGTAGCTGGTACTACAGGCATGCGCCACCACGCCCAGCTAATTTTTTGTATATATGTATTAGTTGGCCAATTAATTCCTTTCTCTTTATAGTAGAGACGAGGTCTCGCTCTTGCTCAGGTTGGTTTTGAACTCCTGAACTCAAACAATCCACCTGCCTCGGCCTCCCAGAGAGCTAGGATTACAGGCCTGAGCCACAGGCCTGTAATCAGCTGAAAATACTGCTTTTAACACCAAGCTGAACTGCCAGGTGCACCAGACTCGCTCTTCGCCCATGTTGACCCATCAGCGCCATCCAGAGGACAGTCCCTGCACCTGTGGTCACCAGCCGGTGGCCTTAGTCAGCCAAGGGAACAGACCAACGCACACACCAGCCAGAGAGCCACGCTGACCCCTCCTTGACCTCAGGGGCATTTGGCTATGTGCATGAGTGCACAGGTCTGTGTGTTTCAGGGTCTGTCAGAAATCAAAGGATGTAAAACAGCACATGACAGGCGTGAGGCACGGCAGCCAGGCGGGTGCACCTGGGGCCAGGTGGCAGAGCCCAGAACTCGCCGCCCGCCAGGCCCCACAGCACCTGCTGCACACGGGGCTCCACCTGAGCAGCCGCGGGGCCACATGCAGGGCCACGGTGCCCTCTCGTGTCCTGCCCAGCTGCCGCCCCTCAGCCCACAGCCAGACACAACCTCCCCATTTCCCCTCCGTGGACGTGCGAATTCCGAGGTTCGTGTGTGGACGCTGACCTACACCACCAACACCGAAACACACGGGTCTTTGCACACAAACGCCACGAGCGGGTCGCTTTCATGGAAGACGGACCCCTTGTTGTTCACAGAAGTGCACGTGCTCAGCACGGAAAGACCCTCCCAGCAGCCACGGCAGCAGCCAGGCACAGCCGGCACAGCCCCTGCGCCGGTACCTGACACCCACCCTGCGCCCGCCGGGCAGGCAGAGCATCCTTCCGCGTGCTTACCGCCACTGGAATCTTCTCTTCCATGAACTGCCTGCCACACCTTTCGCTCATTTTTTTCTACTGGATTCTTTGAAAAGCATTCTTTTTTTTTTTTTTTTCAGACAGAGTTTCACTGTGTTGCCTGGCTAGAGTGCCGTGGCATCAGCCTAGCTCACAGCAACCTCAAACTTCTGGGCTCAAGCGATCCTCCTGCCTCAGCCTCCCGAGTAGCTGGGACTACAGGCACGCGCCACCATGCCCGGCTAATTTTTTCTACATATTTTTAGTTGGCCAATTAATTTCTTTCTTTTTTTTCTTTTTTTTCTTTTTTTTTTTTTAGTAGAGACGGGGTCTTGCTCTTGCTCAGGCTGGTTTCAAACTCCTGACCCTAAGTGATCCTCCCATCTCGGCCTCCCAGAGTGCTAGGATTACAAGCGTGAGCCACCGCGCCTGGCCTGAAAAGCATTCTTAATATTGTCTAATTGTGCAAGTATTTTTATTCTTGGAAGTGGTAAAATATATATTTTTAATTTTTCTGTGTGTAAGGCAATAGAAAATTAGAAAAAAAGATGACAGCAAAAACGAAGGCTTAGCAGGGTATGACGTGCAATATTAAGTGAATAAAGAAAATAAACTCTATGACATGAAGTGACCCACGGCCCACACCACGCACACGCACGCTGGCAACGATCAGACGGCAGCCCGCACGACGCACACAGTGGACAGGGCAGATCTCAAGCACATTTTTCCTGAAAGCTGCTGTGGTTTGACATCATCTTAATGCCACAGGCACAATAAAAGCTCACAGAGGGGGCACCGTGTTCCAGGGTCTAGAAGGCCTTTACGGGAACAAACTGTTCTATTTCCCGAGAAAGGTTCCTTCAGTCAGACGTGCGTCTGACGAGGGTGAACAGGCCCTACTAGAGAGGGAGGCACTCGGGCCACCCTCGAGCCACAGCCCCAGAGAGCAGGTGCGGGCCGGGCCGGGGGCGGCAGAGCCACCGCAGCGTCCGTGGTGCAGAGAGGCCGGCCAGTCGCACTCTGGGGGGAGGAGCAGCCAGCGCCAAGGCGCCTGCCGGCCACCCCGCGTCCCCCACCCTGTGCCTAGAGGGACTAAGACCCCCAGATGGTTTGGGGGGATGGGAAGAGGGTGATGCCCTCTGGGTACTCTGTGCCAGCTTGAGAGCCGAAGCCTGGGGTCAGGGACAAAGCCACCGAGGCCACCCTTCTTAGCCCCCTAGGGCTGACCTCTCATCCCAACCTCTGCTGCTTCCGTCCTCGTTTTTCAATCGTTTCCCCTCCACCCCGCCTCCTCCCCCTTTGAGAACCTAATTCCTCAGACAGTGGCCACGGTCAGGGAGCCCAGAGGCGAGCACTCAAATGCCAGACCAAGGCGCCACCCCCACGAGCCACGGCCCTCGAGCAGGTGAGCCCCTCCCCGGCCGGCCTGGCTGTCCCCCGTGCGGACAGGGCCGTGCAGCGCCCACCGTCCCACAGGATGGAGCAGACGCCATGGCAGGTACAGCCCCGCACGTCCCCACCCACAGCCCGGCCCCGCCCAGCGCCCTACCAGACTCCTTCTCCGAGACAGGCGTTTGCTGAGCTCCTCCGCCTGCTTCCTCATCACCTGGGCCTGCTGGCGCCACTCCCGCAGCACTCTGGCGTCCCTGGGGAACAAGTCAGGGCGGCAGCGTCAGCAGCTCACGCGGCACAAGGAGGTGGATGAGCGTTTCCACGCACACGGCCGAAGCTGCCTGCACACGGCCTCCGAGCGGCCCGTGGTCTCCCAGGGGAAACGCGGGCAGGGCGCAGCCTCCAGTGGGGTCTGAGACGCAGCGTCTTCCCTCCCCACGTATTCTGGGCAGAGCCAGGAGCGCAAGAATCACGGAGCCTCTCCGTGCAGGTGCTGCCCGCCACGGTGCCCAGACTCGGGACCCTCCCAGGGAAGGTGCCGGCTGGGGCTGCTGCCGCCAGTGCCGGCGTCCGGGGAAGGGTCAGAAAGACTGTCCCCGACCGAGCCACGGTGGCCTCTCTACAGACGCTTGGGTTTCACTTTGAAAGCACCCTGGGTCCCCCCCCATCCCCAGTCCCTGGGCAGAGTGGCGCACCCTCCCCGCAGGCCGTGAGAGCCCTGCAGCAGCACCGGGGGCTGGGTTGTGGTGGGGACCCGAGGAGGACCCCACCCCTTCCTCCCCAGCCTAGCCGCAGGGGGCCTCCGCCCTCCAATCCAACCCCCTCCCCAATCTTCCCCACATGCCTGAGGTGTGACCCCCTTGCCTGCCCCCAACTTCTTGTCCCTTCTTCCTAGCAGACGGCTCCACCAGCACCCCAGACCCCTGGCACCCCCAGACACCCCCACCCTGCCCCCACCCAGCTCTGCTCTTCTCCTCACAGCGGTTCAGCCCTCCCCCACTGTGCCCTGCTGCTCCTGCCTGCGGACGGACACTTCGGGCTGAGGGCTTCCAACCCAGTCGGCGCAGCGCGGATCGGCTGCCGTCAGAACCTGCCTATGTCCTCCCTTGGTGCCATCCTGGAGGCACAGATGGTCTCGGCAGCCTCCTTCCGGAGGCCGTACCCTGTCATCCACCTGGATGGGTCTTGGACGCCGGCCCCAGCTGAGCCGGCACCCCGTGTTCCCCGCGTGGCGCTGGCTGTGTGTTGGGCCTCCCACGCTCTTGGATGCGGGGCTCCCCTTAGAGTCTGCCCCTCCTGGGCACAGTTCCGGAAGCACAGGGGTGACACTGCTACCTGGGGGCGGGCTAGACCTCAACGGGCCCAAGCTGATGGATGAGGCCTCCGGACATCTCAAGACTTGGTAGGAAAATAAAGAAAAGAGATTCTACTCGCTCTGTGTTCAAGGCTTTCCTGCAAAGATGAGTCTGACGGCTCAGGTGAGAGGGGCCCGTCTGCCTGGAGCACCACGGGTGGTGCCCGCAGAGAGCCTCGCTGGGACGGGAACGGGACTCACACACGGAGACGAGGGCGGGGCGGGGCACGGAGGCAGAGTGCTCAGCTAGAGTGCAGAGGGCAGGAGCCTGGTCGGCGGTTTCGGAAAACAGCACCTCGAGGTCTGCGGAGCCCAGGCCGGGGGACCCACCTGCCGGAGGGGGCGGCGCCGGCTGGGGCAGCGCAGCGAGCGGTGGGTCACCCTGAGGGATGCCTCTGGCAGACTGTGGGCAGCAAGGAGAGCCGTGCAGAGGCTGCCTGGGCCTGGCGACTGTGGCCAGTGACTGGTGAGACCGTGCTGAGGGCCGCCCTCTGGGTGCAGAGTGCGTGCGGCCAGGGGGCCCCACCCCACCCATCAGGATGACAGCCCGGGAGCACAGGACCAGCACTGAGGGTCTGATGTCGCCACCCCTTTCCTGAAGGAAAGACAGCCAGCTACACTAGGCCAGTGGGGACATGGGTGACAGCCAGGGCGCGACACGGGATCCGCCTGGGGAACACAGTCTAGTCCCCCAGTGTCCCGAGAGAAGACAGACGGCATGCTCACAACGGGTGGCTGCAGGAGGTTTATTCACACGGGGAGGGGGGAGGGGGAGCACAGGGACAATGCTCGAGCTCCGGGCTGGTCACAGCCGGGTTGCAGCCAGGCCCGGGACCCTGGGACAGCCCCTGGAAGGGGAGATCGCCAGAGCCCAGAAGGAGAGAGAGGCTGGACGCGGCCAGCTCCAGGCAGCTCATGCAGAGGCTGGGGGAATACAGACTCTGCTCTCGTGCTCCTGGGCCTGCCACTGGGGGCCCCCACTGACCAAACCCAACCGCGAGGTGAGGGGTGCGGGGGCGCTGTGGATGGGGTCTGTGCTGGCCAGCCTTCTGGGGCCCAGAGCCGAGCAGAGCCGGGTGGTCAGTGTAGCTACAGGACAGAGAAGACCCTGAGGACGGGCCCAGAGACCGTCCGGCCAGCGAGCCAACCAGCACACCCCCAAGAGGTGGGGATGCTAGCGGCAGGACGCTGATGACCATATTATTTCCAAATAGCTGTCCTTAGGGAAGACCCGCAGGCCAAGGGAGAGAAGGCAATGAGGGAAGCATTGAGGAAGAACGAGAAACCAGAGAAAGCTCAAGAAGACAGGCGTCGTGAAGGGCCAGGGCAGGGCTGGCAGGAAGGAGCTGTGGCCCACCCATGACGCCCACCCACGAGGTGGCCTCGGTGGCTGCACATAAGAACAAGACAGCCCCTCACCGAGCGCCACAGACCAGACCCGGGTGGCACCGACCCCATGCTGGGACCGTCAGAGGGAGGCCTGGTGACAAAGCGCAGGGGCCCCGCCCCACCCGGCCCGCGCACTCACCTCCTCCGCTGCTCCATCAGAGCCTGCTTCTCCCGGAGCTCCCTGAGGGCCGCTGCGCGACTCTCCTCCAGGGTTTTTGCGCGCATCGCTGTCTGGTACGATGACGGCAGATCGGGCAAGACATTCCCGAATGAGGGCAGCTTCCTTCTAGAATTACACCGTGGTTTTAGCTGAACGCTGAACCAAACCCCGTGAGGTGACTCTGATCTGTATCAGAAGCAGTGTCACCAAACACACGCCTAAGATGCAGAAGCTGAGCTTGCGGACCAGCTGCAGTCAGAACCAGACTCTTCCCACGGCCAGCACCAGCCAATGGACCTGAGGGCCGTGCAGCCTGGGCGGCTGGTCTGACGCAGTCCCTCGTCTGGCCTGGGCAGAGAGGGGAGACCCGGGCCGAGCCACAGCTGGAGCTCAGGGACGCTGGGTCAGAATTCTCACCTCCAGGGCATGGAGGGGTCGGAAGGCAGGCACAGAAAGGGCCGCTGAGATGTGTCTGGCTTCTGTAAGCACGTTCAGGTGGGGACAGCTGCTATGTCCCCTTCGGGGAAGCCAGCAGGACAGCAGAGGGGGACAGCCAGTGACATGGGGACACCCTCTCCTTACCCATGCAAACACAACGCACAGGCATGCTCTGGTGTTTCCTCTGAACGAAACACCTGTCTGCTAAGACGTCAAGCAGAGACGGCGGCTCTGAGCCGAGGGCTGAGAGCTAGGGACATTCCAGAACACCGGCCTTCCCACCCGGCTTAAGAAACACAAGGAAAAGCCCTGCCCCTGCCAGGGCAGAGAGGCCGAGCCCATCCTGCCGCCCGCCCTGGCTCACAGCCTCCCGCCAGCAGCGAGTCTAGGAGGCCATGTGCAAGTGCTCACACCCAGGTGGGTGAGTCCTGTGAGCAGCCGGCCCACTCGTCTCCCACGCCCGGCTGAGCGTGGGGGCAGGTGCAGCCTGTACCCTGGGCCGGGTCACCTGGGGCCAGTGTCGGCGGTTAGCTTTAACGCACTGCGTTTGGGAGAGCAGCAGCTTCGGATCCTGCCTGGATAGCAGTTTACTCTGGGCCGGGTCCCGAGGAGGGCGGAGGGGACAGTCAGCGGAAGCCCGGCCGGACGTCAGCGTCAGCCAGGGCAGCTCCCTGCTGGCTGAGTTCAGATGCTTTATTCCTGCCCCAACATAACCTGGGATTATGGCCCAGACCATTATTGTGAACGGCCGTGATTTTTATACCATGCTGCTCTTCCTGCAAGTATTTCAACGTAAGCACTCTCACGCTGGGCACATCCCCACGCTGCCCGACACCATGCCACGATTTAGCTCCTAATTCCTTGGAATGTGCCTTCAAGGAAAGTCTCCTGACACCGTGTGACTACTGTGCTTCCTGAGGACACGTTTCTGCGGTCTCTGCACCTACACGCCAACCTGGCTGGGGGAGGAACTGGGGATGACGGCCCTCCTCCCCAAGCTCAACCTGAGCCGCTTGGTCTTGGCAGAGCCAGCCCCCGCCTCAGCCCCCCCTCGCCCATCGCCCCCCAGGCATCCTGCGGGCCCAGGTCAGGCAGGACCACTGCCTCCCTCCAGAGATCACCTGTGGCCTCACTGAGCCCAAGCAACACCGGAGGGGTCAGAGTCCCACCCACGGACACGGATGTGGGCTCAGACCTGCTGCTCCCAGCACGCCCATGTCCCGCAGCCAGGCCAGCGAGCAAGGCCACCCCCCAGTCACAGACCACCAGGAGGGGCTGTCACGCTGAGCGCAGACCAGGGCCACAACCTCAGAGCTTCTCCTGATACCTGGGACCCGACAATAACCTAACCAAGGGGGAAACTGAGGCACAGATAATACATGTGACCCCACAACAACCCTACCCAGTGGGAAAACTGAGGCATGGATAATACATATGACCCCACTACAGCCAACCAAGTGAGGAAACTGAGGCACAGATAACACCTGTGATCCCACAACAACCAGATGGGGAAACCAAGGCACCGAATGGCTTCACAGAGCTCGCCCTGGGGCAGCAAGGGGAGAAGCTGACTTCCAGACCCACCAGCTATCGGGCGGGGACTGCCTGAACTTCCCGTGTGGGGCCTGGGGGTCCCGCGCTCCCCGACAACGCCCTAAGCCCCATGGATGAATCTTCCAAGGCCAGGATCCAGTATCTAAACCTGATATATTGGCAAGATTATAAACTCTACTAATAGGCTTACAACGATTTGCTTGAATAAATCCTTACTGTTATTCAAGACAGTAAATAAACGGACAGAGGGAGGGAAAGGAGGTTTCTGAGCAGCAGGCTCAGCGCGTTCTCGCCCTTCCAACGTGCTCTGAGAGTCAGGACAGCATGCAGCTGTCCCGAGGCCCGTCCCTAGGCCAGGCGGTAGCTGGCGCCTGCACCGTATCACGCCGCCCGGGGGTAACCCACCAGTCGTGCTCCAGAGGCTTTTTTATTTTCAAAACGTGCAACCCTGCAGAAGAGCTGGAGATTGGCGTGATGGACGCCTAGCCCTTCCTGCAGACCACGTTCCCCTCCCCCAGCCTGCTTTTCCAGATGATGTTGAAACACATCTGTCCGCCGGGTGGAGCTCTGGAGGACCTCAAACCACTGTGGCCGCCAGGATTTCTTCACCCCAAGGGCCGGTTTTTGTCCCCTTGGATGTGATGACATGCCCCCCCAGAACACATGATCTGTAACAGATGTACCAACTATTATCTGCCACACTCTATTTATTAATTTGTTTATATGCACACCCACTCACACGCACACGTATGTGTAACACATACCACACACAAGCCCGTGATTAGAGTTTTTCTTTCTCTCTCCTAATGTCTTTTGCTGAGTCTGTTCTCCTGGGGAGCTGGGGAACTTTAACCCTAAACCCAGGGCTGGCACTTGCTGCAGAGTAAGCGACTTGGCAATGTGGAGGAACGTTTTAAAATGTAGCCCTGATGTTTTAAAAGGTAATTAAAATATCACAAATTCGAGAAGATCAAGAAAATACACCTTTGCTTTAAGCTTTACCTGAAAATGTGTCTTGGCTTTGGACGTCCCTTCTCGCTGTTTAGTGCTGCCTTGAGATTTGGAGGTAATTCCACTGGCAGGAGCTGATTCTCAAGAATTTCTGCTTTTTCGTTCTCCACAATCTCCTGCCTCAGCTTCCAGAAGCGCCTGATCTCCTCCTCGCTGGGCCAGTGCTCGGAAGAGTCCAAGGACATCCTGAGTTCACTCAGGTCTAGCTTCTCGACCGGCGGGAGAAAGTCTGCCTTCTCTTCTAGCACGGCCCCCTTGGGATCCCGAGGGTCCCTGGTTTCTTCCTTAGACGCACATTCTCCGGGTAATTCCAACGCAGGATGTGGGAGGCCACTTAGGTGCATCTTTTTAATTAGTGAAATCTCTAGTAGAATAAAATGCTGTTTTAGTGGCCCATACGTCAGCACGGTCCCAGAGACAGACCGCAACATGCGTGCAGGGGCCCCTCCGTGGAGAAGGCCTGAGAGGAGGAGGTGCCCCCCCCCCCCCGCCAGAGACTCCCTACTCCATGCCTACACGCACACAAATAGCCTGGCTGTGAAACATCCCCCCCAAGCTGCTGCAGGACACATCAGCACCCGAATGTGGAACAGATGAGCACAGGTGGCTTGAAGAGCACCTGACCTCTTCACGCGGTCTTGTGCTCCGGAGTCCTGCATACTCGGCGATCTCCCAGAGCTTAACCTACATGTCTGCTTCCCCCAGACCTCTTAGAATCTTTATTTCTCACTGATTTTAGCCCACTATGCCTGCTCTTCCTATCTGGCGATGCTCTTGCTGACTTTTAAACACTGCACCCCCAGCTCCAGGTCAACCGTTTGAGAGGAAATTGCCCGGAGCACATTCATCCGCCACATTCGGCGTCAGTGGGACACAGCCTACACGCTCCTTCACAGACCGGCACCAGTGTGAACAGTGAGTCCCCCGGGGACCGTGTGACACTGCAGACGAACCTGGCAGGGCCTCAGGGCTGAACGTGATGGGGTGAGGTGCTAGCTCCCGCCAGGGCACCTGGGCAGCCCCGTCCGTCTCGCTCCCCAAGGCCTTGCTGGTGCCTCCTGGGAAGCGGCCCAAGCGCGTACCTGGCCCTCGAATCCTTGCTTCAGGAGCTGCTTCTGAGGATGCCAGGACACTGGACCGGCACGACCAACACCGCACCTGCACCCTGGAGCCACGGCGACGTGTCGGGGCACAGACCAAGCACAGCCGCCGCTGTGCACTTGGACGTCACCTACTGTCAGTGGATGTGATGCTCCTTTGTCCCGCCCCCCCCACTCTCTCCTCCTTGGCCACTTCAGTGCCCTGGTCTCCCCGGAGCCTAAGCCACCTCCCGCAGGCTGCCCGACGCCCAAGGTCCATCACTGGAGAACCCTCTCAAAGGCATTCACGGAGCCTATCGCTGTGACTGACAAAACCAAACCACACCAAAGTAACACAAAAGCAGGAAAACTAAAGCAGTAGTTTCAATTTACAAAAGGTGGGCAGCAAAGGAAGGAAAGCACACTTCCCTCTATTTCTCTTTGGCCAAAATTAACAAACGTTCTTTCCCTGGACAGCTTCCCTCGATCAGCACCGAGGGGACGCCACAGCGGCCGCTGTCTGGGGCTCACTCCCAAGGGACCCATTGCGGGGCGCAAGCTCCCACCTGCGGGCGTGGTCTCCACAAACCAGTCTCCACCAAATGACCCAATCAACCTCTGCGCCTCAACGCGCAGATGAAGGCCCGTCACGGACCTGCTAAAAGCGCTCCCATAAACAGACTAATAAAGTGCAGGGGGAACTGCGGATCCTCGATCGCTGAAAACTATTCCTAAATACCGGCCCATCCAGGTTGAAAGCACGAGTTCACACACTACTGGCAAAGATCTTGCTGTTCACATGTTTTAATCATATCAGGTAGATAACTATCTCGGCTAATGGTTCCAAATGTTATGTACTTTTCTTAAGAATAGAAAGTGTGTCTTATGTGGTAAAATTTTAGATATTGTGAAGTCAATATTTCAGAATATTTACTTTTCTGTGGAGCATTTATCACGACTTGATCTCAGTTTTACTTTGTTTTCCCTGAGCGCAGCTACAACACCTCCTCAGGGCAGAACACACATGAGCACCTGAAAACACCTCAGTCAATGTGCCAAAAACACGGAATCATTTGGTGAGTACCCACCATAAAGGTGATTAGACAAAACATGGCTATAAAGCAATATTAATGCAGATTTCTTGTACTTAGCTAAGAATAAGAGACATTTCCTTGTGCTTATCTTTAAACCGTTGTCCAACACAACACCAAAAACTTCCCGAAGCAGCTGTCTATTGGTGGCTTGGAGGTGAGGGCTGTTTCAGGTGGCTGATCCCAACGAACATTCACCACAGTCCACACCAGGAAGGCTGTCTGAGGGGCCCCGAGGTGTCCACCCAGGAGCACAGAACCAAGGGGGAGACACAGAAACGCCTGGGTCGGCCCGGAGACTCAGGTCTGCCGCGTAAACTCAGCGAAGGACGCCTGAGGCCCCAGCGCTTCCCAAAACATCACTAAAGAGAACACAGGCTCTGCCCTGATTTTTAAAAAGCTCTGACATCGGTTTTAGAGAAGCCTGCCACAAAGAGTTGTCCTACAAACCTTGAGAAGCTGCGTCTTTGGGGAGGGAGCGTTCCGCCGCGCAGATCCGCAGGAAGGTCTGGATGCTGACCAAGCCCTTCTGCACTATGACCTGGGGGGGGAACTCCAGGGGGCAGTGTCTCAGGTTGAGGGCTTTCAGGGTAGCCACGGTCCCTGAGACAGAGGAGAAAAACTGTCAGCGTTTTTCCGTACTGTTCTACGGAGTAAAAGAAAGGAAGAGATAATAGCTTTCCACATTTCAAACGAATGATTCTAATCAGTACTTGGGATAAAATGATATGATGGATGCCTGAGATTCGCTCTAAAAAAAACTGCAGGGGAGACATTCTGCCAACAAATTTATGTTAACAAGTAACTAAAACAAACAGACACAAACAGCAACAAAAAAAAACCCTTCACTTGAAATTTGGAATATAAAGTTGCTATAGTATCAAATATGCCCACTTTCAACATAAAAACCATGAGGCATAAAAAGAAAAGGGAATGTGACCCACACTCAGAATAAGCCGACACTAGAAACCGCCACCGAGCAGCTCAGACACTCAGCAAAGATGTCAAAGCAGCCATTTACCACAACATAGTTTTTTTGTTTTTTGTTTTCTTTTCTTTTGAGACAGAGTCTCACTTTGTTGCCTGGGCTAGAGCGCTATGGAGTCAGCCTAGCTCACAGCGACTTCAACCTTCTGGGCTCCAGTGATCCTCCTGCCTCAGCCCCCCGAGTTAGCTGGGACTATAGGCATGCGTCACCATGCCTGGCTAATTTTTTCTATTTTTGGTAGAGAGGAGGTCTCGCAATTGCTCAGGCTGGTTTTGAACTCCTGACCTTGAGCGATCCTCCAGCCTCAGCCTCCCAGAGTGCTAGGATTACAGGCGTGAGCCACCGCGCCTGGCCAAAGCAGCCATTTAAATATGTTCAAAGAAATGAAAAAAACTGTATTTAAATAATTACTGAAAAAAATAATAAAATGGTTCAACAAATTTGAATGGTCTATAAAAATAGAAATTATACAAAAGTACCAAATGGCACTTCTAGAGTTGAAAATTACAGTAACTGAAATGAAACATTCGCTGCAGGGACTCAACAGCAGATATGAGATGGGAGGAAAAGCAGTTCATGAACTTGAAGACAGAGTAATTAAAATTATTCAATCTGAAGATCAGAAGGAAACACAGATTAAACAAACTGCCAAGGCAGGACTCTGATCTGATTTCGGGCCACGAGACCCGCATTCCAGAGGGGTCCTGCCCTATGCCCTGGAGGGAGGACGCTGCTCACAGAGGCCAGGGAGAACCTGAGCAGACAGGCCTCGCTGGGCTTAGACCATGTGCCTATTGTCTGATCACATTTCTACACGGTTGTTCATGCTTCGATCACGCCTGTTCACTGAAGTCTCCATAAAAAGTCCGAAAGGACCGGGTTCTGAGGTTCCCGAGGGCCGCACACGCGCAGGCCTGCAGGCAGGAGACCAAGAACAGGGACAGAAGCTCCTGTGCTCGGGACCCTCCTGGACCTCGCCCTGTGTATCTCTTCATCTTTGTTAATATCCTTGTAATAAACCAGTACACGTGTTTCCCTGAGTTCTGTGAGTCGCTCTAGAAAGTCAATCCACCCCAAAGAGGGGTCGTGGGAACCCCAACTTGAAGCCAGTCAGAAGTTCCGGAGGCCCAGACCTGTGACTGCCAGGGAGGAGGGGCCGTCTTGTGGGACCGAGCCCGCGACCTGTGATCTGACCCTGTCTCTAGGTGGACAGTGTCGGAACTGCCTTGGGGGACACCCAGCTGGTATCTGCTGCGGGACTGACTGCTCGCTTGGTGCGTGTGGGAAAATCCCCGCACGGCTGGTCACAGAAGTGTTCTGTGTTGATTGCTGTGTAGCGTGGGAGCAACGGTTCTGGTTCTTCCGCTCACAGAAATCCTAAAGGAAATTCTTCAGTCTAAAGTTCGATGATGCCAGTGGAAACCTGCATCTTCAGGAAAGAATTAGGGTACCAGGAATGCTAAATATTGAATAAATATAAAAGACTTTTTTCCTCTTAATTTCTTTAAAAAATATACATGACTGCTTAAAGCATAAAGCACAGCATTGCATGGTGGGTTTACAACATATGTAGAATCGATATATAGGACAGCTATTGCATAAAGGAGCTAAGTGGTTCTATGTGGTCACAGAATGGTGACATTTTATGTGCTATGTTACAATGCTAACACTAAAGATGTATGTTATAATCCCTAGAGAAAACCATTAAACTGTTAAAGGAATGCAAGAGTTACAGCTAAAAAGCCAACAAATAATTGAAACGAAAGGCTAAATAATACCCAGTCAACACAGAGGTAACTGGAAAGTAGTAGCATAGAAATAAAAACACCAAATGGAACAAACAGAAAACAGAGGTAAAATGATAGATCAAAATCCACCCTTATCTGTAATTATATTAAATTTAATAAACGCTCCACGTAAAAGATAGACTAGATAAAAAAGTAAAACCCAACTATACGTTGCCTACTAGCAACGTATTGTTATATAGTCTGAGTACAGATAGGTTGAAAGTGAAAAGATAGAAAAACATACACCACATGCAAACAGAAAGCGTACAAGGGTTGGAGTGGCCATGCCAATAAATACTCAATAAGCACATGACCAGGTGTTCAACAGCTTATGACCATGCTTATGACCATGCTTATGAACAATAAGCATGTTCAATAAGCACATGACCAGGTGTTCAACAGCTTATGAACCATGCTTATGAACATGCTTATGACCATGCTTATGAACAATAAGCATGTTCAATAAGCACACGACCAGGTGTTCAACATCATCCGCCGTCAGAGAAACACGTGCTGAAACCACAATGAAGTGCCACTATACACCCACCAGAACAAAAAGAATATGAGGAATGACAACAGCAGATGCTGGTGAGGATGTGGAGCAACTGGAACCTCACACACTGCTGAACAAGACACGGCACAACCACTCTGGAAAAAGTCTGGCAACTTCCAATTCACCACATCTACGTATGATGTAGCAATTCTGCTCCTAGAAATTATTCCAAGAGAGATGAAAACACCAAAAGACTTGTACATGATGTTCGCAGCAGTCTCATTTATAACAGCCAACAACAACAACAAAACCAGACATACTCCAGATGGTCGAGAGAAAACCGGGTTACAGAAAAACAGCTGTGGAACACTCCCAGGAGATCAGCGCTCGGTAGCAGACAGGAACAGCCTGCTGCCCCCACAACAATGTGCACGGACCTCAAAACCATTACGCTGAGGGATGGACATTTTAAAATGAGTATATGCTGTACTATTCAATTCATGTGGCATTCTAAAACAGGCAAACTCATCTATGGCAAAAAAAAAAACAAACCCAGAACAGTGGGTGCATCTGTGGGGTGGGAGGGTGGGGCCAGCTAGGGAGGTGCGAGCTCTTCCCAGGGTGCGGGGGAGGTTCCAGGTACCGACTAGAACCTGGGTCACACACGCGCGTGCACTCTCCAAACTTCATTCCCGCAGTAAGATTTGCACATTTACCATAACTAAGTCCTAAGCAAACAGCAGGAAATCATCAGGGTTAGAGTGAAAATCAACGAAGCAAACAGAAAAATAAGGGAAATCAATGACACTAAAAGTTATTTCTTCAAAAAGAGCAAAAAAATTGGCAAACTTTTATCCTGGCTGACCAAGAAAAATAGAGAGAAAACTCAAATCAGGAAAATCAGAAAGGAAATAGGAAACATCAACACCAACCTGACATGAATACAAAGAATCAGAAGGCCATGCTGTGAGCAGCCGAGCAGCAGCAGATCAGATAACAAGGTGATGTGGACAGATCCCTAGAAAGGCCCCGCCCGAGCGCCAAAGCTGACTCAGGAGGAAACTGAAAGCCTGATTCTGACACAGCGGTAGGCTAAATAACGTCCCCCAAGATATCCAGTGTTGATACTTGAAACCTATGAATGTTATCCTCCATGGCAAAAGGAACTTCACAGCTATGATTAGGAACCTCGAGGAGAGATTGGCCCAAGTTAGAAAAAAGTTGGCTGGTGGATAAAAAGGATGGTGTCTCAGACCACAGTCCATTTTGTGCTGTTCAACAGAACACTCGACAGTTGATAACTGATAATGAACAGAAATGTACTGGCTCGCAGTTCTAGAGGCTGGGACATCCACGATCGGGGCCAGCATCTGGCCAGGGCCTTCTTTCTGCGTCCTCCCATGGAAGAAGGCCAGGAGGACAAGGCAGGGGGAGAGAAGTCAAATGCACCCTGTGTAGTGGCACAATCCCGCCTATGGGGGTGCAGCTCTTGTGGTGTAATCTCTTCTTATGGGTCTCACCTCTTAATACTGTTACCATGGCAATTAAATTTCAACATGAGACCAGGTGTAGTGGCTCACATCTGTAATTCTAGCACTAGGGAGGCTGAGGCAGGAGGATCCCTTGAGGCCAGGAATTTAAGACCAGCCTGAGCAACATAGTGAGACTCCATCTCTACTGGGTATGGCAGCATGTCCCTGCAGTCCCAGCTACTTGGGAGGCTGAGGCAGGAGGATCCCTTGAGCCTGGGAGTTCGAGGTTATAGTGAGCTATACCACTGTAATCCAGCCTGGGCGACAGAGCAAGACCTTTTCTCTAAAGAAATAAAAATTTTACAAATGTCAACATGAGTTTTAGAGGGGACAAACATTCCACCCACAGCAGATGGAGAGATGGGCAGATAATGCAAACTGCAAAATATTATCGGGAAGAGACCAGGACAATTCAAAAAGTAACCTAAAACGTTTTTCAAAAAATGAAATTACAAAAAACGTGAACAATTAGAAATACTTAATTAGTCCAAAAGAAAGTGAAAAAGAAGAATAAAGGGTCAAAGAACAGACTGGAGAAACAGAAAACATAGAGTATGACGACAGCCATAAGGCGACTCTATCAGTGTTCTCGCCACACGCAAATGGCACAGACAGCGGCCGGACGGCAAACACGGCCAGGCTGGGTAGAGACACGAGGCTCACCCGTGTCTTCTTGACAAGGGACAGAGTTACATACAAGGACATAGCGTTTGCAAGTAAAGATATGGGGAAGGGTGTGCTGTGCAAACATTAACCAAAAAGAGCTAGTGTTATGAAAGAGAGCATTTCATAATGGTAGAGGTAATTAAACAAGAAAATATAAAAATCCTAAATTTTTATTCAACCGACAACAGAGACTCAAAACATATACAGCAAAAATTGGCAGATCTAAAAGGAAAGGCAGATAATCCACAATCACAGTGGAAGATTTTAACCACTTCTTCAGGTACTGACAGTACAAAATGACAAAGAACTCAAGGATGTCGATAATTCGAGCATGAGCAGCCAACACGGCCCACCTGAACACACAGAATATCACATCCAACAGCCACCTGAGAACACACGCCCTTCCCAGGCACACGGGGTGACGTTCACCAGCACAGGACACAGCCAGGGCCACAGAGCAAGTCTCGACAGGTTTCGGATAACCGAGACCACACAGCAGGTACTGCTGGGGGACTAAACTAGACCACTGCAGTGTTAATGAGAACTCAGTAACAGAAAGACAGCTAGAAAATCTCTAATTGTTTGTAAATTAGCAACACACTCCTGGACAGCCTGCAGGTCCAGGTATATTAAAAAACATTTTGAGCTGAAGGATAAAAACATAAAACATGTGGGATGCAGCTAAGGCAGTGTTTAGGGGGGAATTATAGCCGTGAATACATTTATTAGAAAAGAAAGATTTAAAATCAACCATCTAAGCTTCCAACTCAATAAGCTAGAAAAAAAAAAGGCAAACCGAACCTAATGAAAAAAGACAAAAATATGAAAGAGCAGAAACCTGTGAGACAAAGCAGATGCACAACAGGCAAAATTGTCCTCCTCCTTCTCCTCACCTACACCAAGAAAATGAACAAAAATGAGTGAACTACAGTTATACGTGTCCACGTGGATAAACCCTGAATTCACACAGTTGAACAACAACAAAAAAAGAAAACCACCAGAAATACTTATGGTGTGATTCGATTTATTAAAAGGTCAACAGGAGGGCACGTTAGACAACAGGTGTAAGTGGTGAGATATATGTGTCCTGCCAGGAGGCGAGGGACACGCAACGGGAAGCCCAGGTGGGGCCTGCACAGGTGCACCCGTTGCCACTGCTACTCCTCCTTGCAATGCTGACATGCCGCCATGCTTTGACATGCATCACACACTGGCAGCTCCTGAGCTGTGCTACCTGAGAGCCCTGAACCAAAGCAGAACAGATCCCCCCATCAGCCGGCTAGCGCCGGGTCACGCCTGCCGCTCCCGCCACAGGCCTGGCAACGCAGACGGCAGCACGGCAACATCATCTCCTCATTTGCTGTTTTGACACTTACCTAGCTCCACAGGTAACATTCTGATAGGATTTCTTTCTAAAAGCAAAGTTTTCAAATGCCTTTAAAACAAAAACAAACAAACAAACGATTTAAAAAGCAGAAAATTAAATGACCACCCCCAAAATATGCCATCAGGTTTCTTCATTTTTCTTCTCCTGGCAGGGGGCAACTTCTGGCGCGGTCGGCCACTGAGCCACCTGGCTGGCTTCTACCCTGCAGCAGAAACGCAGTGAAGAGCAGAAGCCAAGCAGCAGAAGGACAGGCAGGCACTTGGACACTTTAAACAGATAATTTTTTTTAAAGGTCTGGAAAAATAAACATACAACTTACTTGTGAGATCCAATCCCGGAGGGAAGCACCTTAATTTTATTATACCGGAGGTCCAGCCAGGTGAGGTTTGGCAGCAACTGAAAGAAATCTCTGGGAATCAGGCAGAGCGCGTTCCTTTGGAGATGCAATTGCTTCCACAGAAAAGAGAGAAGCAGAGAACGCTTTGTCAACCAGCTACACTTTAAAACATGACGTATCCAAAAGGCATTTCTAAAAGATCTGCCACGATAATATTTTACCCTGAAAGGATTTAAATGGCAGCCGAGAGAACCAGAAGAAAAGAGCCAGGACTCCTTCGGGCAGTTCTCGGGGCTGGAGGGACATCGTGCATGGTTCCCACGCCACGACCAAGCATGCTCTTATCCATCAAATGTCCCCCGACACCAAACGTGATCCCCAGGCCCCACATTCAGTGGCCCAGCTCCTTCCCCAGCACCCGCTGCAGGCTGGCGGGCAGCCCCCGGTCCCTGCCTGCTCAGTGAGCAAACAGCTGGAGCCACTCTGGTCCTGCTCACCCTAAGTCACTAAGACGTCTGTTGTAGGCCATCTATGACAACAGCCACACAAAAATATTAACAGTCACGGTGACCATCACTCGAGGAACAGTCTGATACATGAACTCGGGGCTATTTCTAAGTCACCATCATAAATAAGTGAAGACGGCAGAACCCAATGTGTACACAGTGATTTTAGCCATGTAAAATGTATATGTGTATACATAATTCCACAGTCACAGTGTAGTGGGATTGCAGGTCATTTTAAAAATACCGCCATTAATCTTGTTGTTATATGTTATATATGTTTACATCATAACATGTATTTACATACATATATACACCTATATTTACTGAGGCAGTAGAAGCAGATGTTCAGGCCAGACAAGGTGGCTCACACCTATAATCCCAGTACTCTGGGAGGCCAAGGCAGGAGGACTGCTTGAGCTCAGGAGTTCAAGACCAGCTTGAGCAAGATGGAAACCCCATCTCACTAAAAATAGAAAAATTAGCCAGGCATCATGGTGTACACCTGTGGTCCTGGCTGCTCGAGAGGCTGAGGCAGGATGATCACTTGAGGCCAGGAGTTCGAGACCCGCCCGAGCAACATAGTGAGACCCCATCTCTACAAAAACTAAAAAAATTCAGCCGGGCATGGTGGTGTGTCCCTGTAATTCCAGCACTCTGGGAGGCTGAGGGAGGAAGATGGCTTGAGCCCCTGACTGTGAGGCTGCCGTGAGCTATGATGACGCCACTGCACTCTACCCTGGGGGACAGAGCGAGACTCTGCCTCAAAGAAAGAAACAGATGTTCAGAGCACTGACCTTGAAGCCAGACTGGTCGGGTTCAAACCTAGGTTTTGAGACCTATCAGCCGTGAGACCTTCAGCAAGTTCCTGAACCAGTCTGTGCTCCCGAGTCCCTGACTGCCACGTGACCTCCGTCACGGGCAGCGCTAAACGGGCAGCGTGCGGCACACAGAAAGGGGCGTGCAAGCATCAGCTGCTTTATTACGCCTGAAGGACTTTATGCATCAAGATATAATAACATACATCTCGCAATCTGAATCCCTTATGCAGAGTTGAGGGCACTTGCTTCATTAAAAGTAACACATGCACAACAGAAGCCCTGATAAGGCAGGTCCCTGTGACCAGAGATTCAGTCCTAGAGGGCAGTGCTGACAGCAAGACCAGAGGGTCCTGCCAGCAAAACGGGGCAAGCATAAACATAAAATAGTGGGGTTCAGTAGTATGAGCAGCCACTTAAAATCTAAGCATGCAGTGTTTATAAAAGCACTCAAAAATGCCAATCAGCACCACAGCTGTGTTCCAGACACTGCACTACAGATGCTATCACTTCGTTCTTACAATATCCATCATGACATTATCACTCCCACAATCCAGATGAAGCCAAATGAGCTCTAAGGAATTCTGACTCCAGGCAGCGACAGGCACTGGTGGAGGAGCCTCACCTGTCTGACATCAAAGCTGTGCTCTAACGGAACCTTTCTCCAGAAAAGCACAGGGACAAGACACACCTGCTAGGGACCCACCTGAAGAAGGCCCCTGGCACCCAGCGAAATCAGGGTGTGACACGAGCAGAGTCGTTAAGTGTGAAAAACAGGTTTTTAACTGTTTTAATATTGCCTGATTTTTTAAAAAGGATTTTGTGTTTTTAACAGGAGACCCAGGGTGTCTTGGCAGTAATTTCCACCTTGGGTCTTCTGTGACTCACACTTCCCCAAGGAGGGAGGAGACTTGCACAAAGGGGTCAGGGGCCTCATCTAAGCAGTCGGCTGCTTCTGCTGGCTGGACCCCACCAGACTGAAGTTCTCCTTTTGTTGTGATCAGCCCATGGAACCACAAGTTAGCCCTTCCTCTATTTCGTTCTAGAACTCACTGCTTCCAAAGAGAAAGGCGCCTACAAAACAAAAGGCCAGGAGCAAATTTCTCATTTCTGTCTGCAGGAACCTTGTGGACACACGTCCTGAGGAACAGCTCCACTCACCTGGATGGTGGGGATTTTAAAGATCTCTCCCAAATTGCGCAGACCACTTTGACTCAAGTCTAAAACAGATGGAGAAGGTAAGTTCATCTCCTCAAGACCCTTGTGAACATCTCCGGAGGGGGAGGCAGGCAAGCACTCAGCCTGGCCGGCACCCTCCTCCCTGCCGTCAGCAGACCCAGAGGGAACGGTGCAGGAGCCGCTGCCCTCCATCCGCTGTCCGCCAGCAGCCAGGGCTCATCCTCCTTGGTCTGGGGTCACCTGGAGACACAGGGGGAGAGACGCGGAAGCAACGAATGATACTGACACATTCACACAGGCCAAGCGGGATAGCTACGGGGCAGGTCTGCAATGACTTAACTTGCTCTACGAGGCATCATTTTTTATTTTTTTATTTATTTATTTATTTTTTGAGACAGAGTCTCACTTTGTTGCCTAGGCTAGAGTGAGTGCCGTGGCGTCAGCCTAGCTCACAGCAACCTCAGACTCCTGGGCTCAAGCGATCCTTCTGTCTCAGCCTCCCAAGTAGCTGGGACTACAGGCATGCGCCACCATGCCCGGCTAATTTTTTCTATATATATTAGTTGGCCAATTATTTTCTTTCTATTTATAGTAGAGACGGGGTCTCGCTCTTGCTCAGGCTGGTTTTGAACTCCTGACCTCGAGCAATCCGCCCGCCTCGGCCTCCCAGAGAGCTAGGATTACAGGCGTGAGCCACCGCGCCCGGCCCATCATTTTTAATAAGCAGTGTGACAGATTCAATTTTAAATTTGTAAAAAACTGGAATATAAGAAGGTTCAGATTAACAATATTCTCTGCTCTCACTTTGTACCACACAGTTCCAAGATTTGACTTCTAACTCCTGGAAAATACAGAGATGCACGATGGGAATGATTATTTTGCACGGCTGCTGGTCTCTGCTGCGGTCCTGCGCTGGCACCCTGCTTCTAGCTCCCCGAGGCCAGGAATGCCGCCTACTGTTTACCATCCGGCCCAGGCCGGGCACCGAGTCTGGCGTGCACCGGGGTGGGCACAGGGAAAAGCGGCCGAATACTTTTGCCCCACGCAGCTGAAGAACTGCCGTTGGCCGAGCCCGGCTCGGCGAGGCTGGAATGCAGCCTCCTGCGCGTTCGCGAAAACGTTGGGACGCCCCAGCTTCCCGCGCACCCGCGCCCGTACCACGACCGCGCGACAGCCCCGCAGGGCGGGCACCGCGGGCGGCGGCGGCCACGCGCACGCTGACGCGGCGGGCGACGCCAGAGGCCCGGCCTGTGCGGCGCTCCCCACGGCTGGCCCACCCTCCGCCCGGCAGCCGCCTCCCACGAACCTCCGAAAGGGAAAAGAAGCAGCGCGGGGCCCGCGGGTCGCAGGGGCTGGCCCCGCCGCGCCCTCTGCCTCGGTTTCCCCACTCCGGCGAGGCCGAGCCGCACCCGACGCTGCGGGCTTCACACCCCACGCCTGCGAGGCGCGGCCTTCCCCTGCCCTCCAGCCCGCCGGCCGGCCGGGGCTGCGGAGAGCAGCTGCGGGACAATGGATGACACAGGGCCCACGCGGTCGCCATGGAGACGCCGGCACGGAAGCCCGCAGGCGCCAAGCCGCAGGCGGAAGCCGGTGGCGGTGCGCCTGCGCGCGGGTGGTTGTGGCGCGCCTGCACGGAAGGTGGTGCGCCTGCGCGCGGAAGATGATGCGCCTGCGCACTAAGTGGCCTGCGGCCCGTGACCGTCAGTTGGCCCCCGAGCGCGGTGGACCGAGGGACACACGGGACCGAGAGGTGGGAGGGTCCGGCGGCCTCAAGCTGGGAGCCGCAGCCCGCGGAGCCCGCAGCGTCGTGCGCGCGGGGAAGGGCCCTGGCGCGGGGCGCGGCCCGGGGAGCGACCGGGCCCTCGTGACCCGGGGCCGGAGCGGGCAGCCGGCTGTCGCCCGCGACGCGGCTGCGCCCTCGTCTGCGGGGCGCCCGTCGGGATGGCCGGGCCCGCGGGGGGCTCGCCGCCCGCAGACGCGGCACCGGGGGACGCCGCTTTGTCCTCGCGCTCGCCGCGGGAGTGGCCGGGGCTCTGCCTCCGAGAAGCCCCCTCGGAGTCGGGCTGAGGCCCCGCAGAGGGAATTTGCGGGCAGGGCGCGCAGGACGGCGGTGCCCTTGGCTGCTGTGGGCTTCTCTCCGCGCTGAGTCCCCTCTCTTCCTCGGGCCGCGCTCCCAGCCACCGGGGCCTCCGCAGGCCAGAGCCCCAGTCCCAGTCCTCCACGCCGCCTTGTGTTCCTCATGCATTCTTTGCCGATGAAGTGTTACGGATTTTTAAATTTTTCTTTTGAAAATTATCTGTTGTAGCCGCGGGTGGAGAGAATTGTGAGAGGGCCTCTAAACAGGAACTTACAATACCGTCTTGCCCGGAGGAGAAGTAATATTGATTGTCAGTAAAGGAAAATAAAAGTTATACTGTTAGAGTATTCTCTGTGTAATGCCTTACTGTGAAACTGCCACGAATCGTGTTTGATATTTTCCCAACAGTATTCTTCCTCATCAAAAGAAAAGCAACTGAATTAAAAAAAAAAAAAAGAAAAACTATGTCGAAAGTTAGATATATATAAGGACAATAATCATCTCTCCATAAATTTTGCAGGTTTCCAAATGGCCTGACCTTCTGGAAGATGTTCAAAGTGCCCCTGAGCAGCCTGTTCCATGCCTGCTCTGCTGTGCCCGTCATCGTAAAACGTGACAGCCGGAAATGTGACCCTCTTCTTGAGAGGAGCTAAGCCCCCAAAACAAAGACGGCCTCCGTTTCCATATAACTTCCTCTGAGAGACAGCACAGGACGGGGCTTGTGTCAGAAAGGTGGGGATGGGTGGGGGGATGAGGCAGCCAGGCATGGCCTTCCGGCTGCTGTGGGAAAGTGGGTGTGTTCTTTGGCACTTCCAGGAATGGAGTGTGGCGAGTGAGTCCCTGATGAACCTTTCAGCTGAGCCCAAGTGGCGAACTCGTCTCAGGCACCCTGGGAGACTCAGGCTCACCCAGCTGTTGGCCTCCATCTTCCCAGCTGCTGTGGTTGGGATGTGTCCACCCGAATTCATGTGGTAGAAATCTGGTTCCCAGCGTGGTGGCATTGGAAGGTGGGGCCTTTTTAAGACACAGTTAGGTTGTCAAGGGAGACAAGTGCCACTCTCTAGGGACTGGGTTAATTCTTGAATGAGGGAGTGGGTCCTTGCTGTCCTGGGACAGGATTAGCTATCACGAGAGCTGGTTGTCCTAAGGTGAGGCCCCTCTTGGGTGTGCCCACTTGCCCTACCTGCCCTGTTATGATGTAGTACATCATGCACTTGGGCTTCCCAGCCTTCAAAACCATGAGCCAAATAAACTCCTTTCCTTTGTAAATTACGCAGTCTCAGGTATTCTGGTACAGCAGCAGAAAACAGCCTAAGACACTGGCCTTGAGATTCGGATACAACGGTTTGGATACAATGGCTCCATCCACCCTACCCACCAATCCCACAGCCCATGGGACCCAGTCCCCACACCCCCCTTTCTGTCTTGACATCTTTAGCTTAATCACGCACACTGCATTTTGCCATGTAACCTAATGTATTCACAAGTTCTGGGGACTAGGACATCTTAGGAGGCTGTTATTCTGCCTACCACAAAAGGAACTCCAGGAAAGGAACTGTCTTTGTTGGAGGCAATACATTTGTGAACAAAAGTTCTCGAAGGCCGGGCACGGTGGCTCACGCCTGTAATCCTAGGACTCTGGGTGGCTGAGGTGGGAGGATCGTTTGAGCTCAGGAGTTCGAGACCAGCCTGAGCAAGAGTGAGACCCTGTCTCTACTAAAAAAATAGAAAGAAATTAGCTGAACAACTAAAATATTATATATATATATACACACACACACTTATATAAATTATCCAGGCATAGTGGCACATGCCTGTAGTCCCAGCTACTCAGCAGGCTGAGGCAGAAGGATCGCTTGAGCCCAGGAGTTTGAGGTTGCTGTGAGGTAGGCTGATGCCATGGTACTCTAGTCCGGGCAACAGAGTGAGACTCTGTCTCAAATAAATAAATAACCCTTCACTTCACTGGCTGTCAGGGAAATACAATTTTATACAAAATTAGACCGCTTCCATTCACTCACTTAGCAAAAGCAAAACTGTCTGGAAACCCCCATGTATTGGGAAGGCCCCAGCTCCTGCCCTGAGAGGGTGTTCGTTAGTGTCTGGGAACTTGTACGGTTGAATAATCGTGCAATCACCCTACGATTCTCCCTCTAGACCAGGTGTCCTCACATGCAGGTGTTTTTGCCCATTTGCTTTTTTACTTCAAAATAAGATATGTGCAGTGTGCATAGGAATTTGTTCATAGTTGTTTTTAAACTATAGTCTGGCCCTCCAATGGTCTGAGGGACAGTGAACTGGCCCCCTATTTAAAAAGTTTGAGGACCCCTGCTCTAGACTCTTCTCTAAAGAAGCAAATGGAGATGGGTACCAGGACATGTGTGCAAAAATGTCCACTGTAGGGTCATGCATTTTAGCAATAAACTGGAAAGAAAGGCCAGTACAAGAAAAAGCACAAATAAATCAGCGAAGTTGACAATGAAGCGTCTCGTCTCACAACCTCAAAATGAATGAACAATAGTTGCTTGCAACAATAGAAACAGCTATTGACAGAAAAAGCAAGTTGCAAGAGACCTCATATGGTATGATGTGTTTTTACAATGTGGATAAGTGAATATGTGTTCAGGGCGTTTATAAAGTCAAGCGAACAGTGACACTGCAAGGGTGAAGGATAAAATTCTGAAACGAGAAAACATCAAAGGAGGTCCCATAATTCAGGCTGGGAAAAGGGAGGGAGATGAGTAGGGGTGCACAGGGTGGGTGTTACGGGCTGCACTGTGTCACCAAATTCATACTGGCCAAAGAGAAACTAAGCCACACACTGGTTAGAGTGGTCGGGGCAGAGTCTGGTAAGCAATAACTGTCGCAGTAGGGAAGAGTCAAGTGGTGCCGGGATTCCTCAGTGCTGGGCCTGCGCTCCCTCCTCACCTGCACCTGCTCAGGCCCTGACACTATGTCCCTGGGACAGGTCTGGAGGACACCTGAGGAGGCCGCCTCGCCCTCTGGGGGCCTGGCCTGGCCCTGACCTGCACACGCTTGGACATGAACCGGGCCCTGGGCCAGAGGCAGATACGTCATAGCCACGTGGGGTGCAACAGATACTTCTGAACCCAAATTTCCCTGTAATTAATGAAACAGAAGCAAAGACAAGAGCAAAACTATGGGCAATCAGTGAATAAATGCAGACACGTGCAGGAAGCCCAGCACAGAGGAGGCACCTGAGCATTTTTCTTCTTTTTATTAACAGAGATTGATATCATTTTAATTAAACATGACTGTTTCTAGACAAATCTAAATCAGTTCAGAGGGTAAGAGAATTTTTTTTTAAGGAGGAAGTAATTTTAAAAGCAGAAATGAGAAAGTGGCGAGTGAGTACTGTGCCAGGACGCTTCCCAACTTTGTTTCTCTGCCGCGTGGGCGCTCACCTGGTGCGGCCACTCTGCTGACCACAGACGCAGGGACCCAAGCTCAGAGAGCTCAAGGACGTGCCGCGGCCACACAGCGACTAAGTGACAGAGCTGGGCTTCGTGCCCAATCGCTGGTCACTGAGACATCTGAAGTTCCGATACAGGCTATTTTTAAAAGATGTAAAAGGAAAGGTCTGGAAACTCAACCTTCCACAGAGAATAAGAATGCATGAGTTCAGCTGCACAGCAAACAAAATTCTACCCAAATGGCAGGTACGTTCACGGCTCTATCTTCATCCTTAATCTAAGGACCCCTGACTTGCCCCCAGCGGTCAGCGTGTCCTTTCCTGGTTGCCCCGGGCAGCTCTGTCCTTCCTGCTTGAGTGGCTGAGATGCCGGCTTTGAGGTTTTTGGAGACTTTGGGTGCCACGTGCAACAGGCTCAGCTGTCACTGCACGGCTCCCTGGGGACATGGGTTCTGGTGGCAGTAGGACCCTCCAATCCACCTCCTGTTCCTGGCCTGCCAGCCCCTCTTTGGGGCATGAGCGGCTCCTTGCCTTGGGAGGCAACTCCCCTGACCCGGGTCCTCTCAGTCCAGCCATCTAGAAGGTTCCCTGATCTCGGGGTGCACTTTACCTCACCTTC